TAAAGTTGAATGCATTTTCTTAAAAAAGTTGTCAATATGATTTAACTCTCCATAAAAAGAATTTGTCCACTTAATGTTTTAAAAGCTGGCTAATTTAAATAAAGCTCTGTTGTTTCTCTGAGAGCACCCTTTAAATAGTGAGGCTAATTTTTCTCTTTAAAAAATCAGAAAACATGCTTGAAGAGATTTTCTGCTTCACAGAGGATGCTTTAAGGAAGGAACTAAGGTTCAATCCTGCAACATATAATGTGTGAGGGTAGCAGTCTGCTCAAACATGGTACATGCTGGATCAAATCCTAGCTCTCCAACTTTACAGGGGCAACATGAAACTGTTTATGCACAAAGTACATAAATATGTTTTTAAAAATAGAATTTCTCCCAACTGCATTAAATTATAGTCATCTTAGATGTTACTTGTATTTACGGTAGGTGCAGTTTTCAGACAGAAATGTGATTTTCAAGTAGGCAGTGTTTCTTTAACCATCCAAAATACTCTAGAAAACCGCCTCTAATATTGAAAAAGAAAAAAAGTATTGGCAAAACTTTTTATTGTTTATAGATTTATCACATGGATTACAAAAAAAAAAATCTATGTAACCATTCTGAAATACATCTAGGTGGAAAATTATGGTTTGGACAAAAGGAATAATTGGGCTAGAATGGGCCATTTGTCTGAAATATATCTAGCTTTGGGTGTCTGTAGACTAGTTTGATTAGTAATTGGGAGAAACGCTGTTCCTTAGTTTAGTTACAAAAACATGCAATGGCTGCTGAAAGTACATAGAAATGAGGAGCACTGGCTAGTGCTTGCCCTTACCAATGTGAACATTGCTGAATGTGGATGAGTAATTAAAATATCGAATGTGGAAAATTAGGCCGGAATTGACTAGAAATGAATAAGCTTGCATTCTGTTGTACAGATGTTGGAAACAGATTATTTTGGGCACCTCTATCTACATCTTATTGGATTACTATGTAAAATCAGTCATATGCCATGTAGATTGTTTCTCGTCCCATTGCTGTTTCCTTCTTTATTTTGTGATGTAGCTGTATAGGTAGTAATTTAGCAAAATATCCTGTCTGCCAGGTGTGGGAACTAGCTGATTGTATTGTAATACCAGATCATTACTTAATTCATATGCAACATAGCCTAGCATATGGAAAGCATTATAAATCTATTTACAGTGTGGCTGGTCTGATGATAACATTGTATTACATTCCCAGGTGAGGCAATTTAAGCAATTGGTTTGCCATGTGTAGGCTATGGAAATTAGCTTCTAGTATGCTTTAGTAATAGACTAACTTCATTGTTATGCTCAGATTAGTAGTATAACAGAATTCTTACACTCTGGTTGCATGTACCTTACTTCACATGTAAAATCATACAAGGGGTGGTACTGCGGATCACAGTTCTTAATTAGTTTAAACTGACTTAATTCATTTTATTTCTAATTTAACTGTGCCTGCCCATGAACACATTCAGTTCAGTACGGAAATGTTAAGGCTTGGGTCAAGCAGACAGATTGTTTAAAGCCAAATTGCCAGACAGAACTGAGCAAGTGTATCTGTGTGAACAGGTCTTTAAGAAAATCACCCAGTCAGTATGCAAAAATCTTGTTCATAAACCAAGTGAGATCTGCCTGGAATCAGAAATTATTCCTTGGCAGAAGGTCTGAGTACTGTAGTCCATTTAAAGCAGCTACTGAAACTTTCTCTGTCTATAAGTTCTTGTGGATAGTACCTTAGCCCCTTTGTGTAACTGTGTGTGCATGTATACTATACTACTTAAGATTTCTTAGCGTGTACACGTATACCGATTCACTCAGTAATGTTAAACACTTGTGCACAGAACTTAGCACATATATATACAAAATGCAAGAAAAACTTCTGCTGTACTTGACAAATCTTTGCAGAGAAAAAATGTACATAGAAGCTCTTAAACTCATATTGAGCTGCCCAGAAAATGCATTGGATTACAAACTCTGTAAAGCTTCTGTCTTTTCTAGGAACATACATATAAAGTACCAGTAGACAGTGGTAACTGACAACTAAGACTAAAAATGTTGACAATTTTTTGATTTGCCTGGTTAGCTTATGTATAGAAGTCATTAACTATTTATAAAATGCATTATGAATTGGGTTCCTTCAAACTGTAGCAGAATGTGTGACATTTCCAGCTCAAACTATCATGCTTGCATTTGGCTAAAGTACATATTTATATACAGCTGATAGTTATGAAGAAAAAAATTCTTAAAATATTTATAATTATCAGATTTGTATTAATCTGTTTTCTTGTTAATTTTGATCAGCCAAATATAAGTGTTAGCAAAATTACTACAATTATTTTTATTTTTTGTTAAAGAAAATGAACTATTGATGTTTTGTACAAATCCTGATAGAACAAATGAGCACTTTAGTTCCAAGGTCCTTTTATATTATTGATTCAGTTGGTGGTGAAACTGTGATAAAAAGTAATATCAAATTATTTATTGATTAAGGCAAAGAGTTGCACCTAGTTGTAGTGAAAAGATTATTTCTTTCAGTACAACTGCTGATTTTCTAATCAGGACAGATCATTGTAATGAAGAACAGTGGTACAAACATTATTAGCTGCACTTATATTGACATGAAGGACATGTATAGTGTCTTTTTGAAAAAAATAGAATGATTGCAAAAATGTTGTTTCTTTGTCATAAAGCACACTTTTTCTCATATAGTCCCTTACAAATTGGAACAATCACCACTTTAATCATTCAAATGAATTATGTGAAACCAAGAACTCCTCAAACTCTCTATAATTAGCCAAGTGGTACACCTGGCAACAAACTAATGGAGCGTGATGTTTACCATTGCAAGGTAATAGTGACAAATATGGTTAACATTACCAATGTCCATGGTGCTGCGCTGTTAGGTGAATTGTGTAAGACTGTATACTTAGATTGCTGGACCTCATATGTAGAGATTGGATCTTAACCAAAAAAGATTAGATATTTATTGTGGTGTTGTAGCTGTGTTGGTCCCAGGATATTAGAGAGACAAGGTGGGTGAGGTAATATCTTTTACAGAAGTTGATCCAATAAAAGATATTACCTCACTCACGCTGTCTCTCTAGATATTTATTGACATATATTTGTAATTTCCTTCCTTGTTTGATGTATATCAAGTAAAAATAGGAAAATAATATAATTGAGCAATCTATGCCAATTTGTTGGCTTTTTGGTGAAAAAAGAGAAAAACAAAACCTGTCTCCATATGATATTCTTGCATACTGTGGAGTGTTTTAGTCCCCCATAGTGATGAAATGAATAATTTAAACAGGCAGCTCTGATACCACAGCCTGTTTAAAGGTTCTCATTTCCTTTAATGCTGTAGACTACTTTTGCTTGGTTAGTATGAAACTGCTGCGGCTGAGATCTCCAAATAGGGAAAAAGAGATTTAGCACAGTTCAGTTCTTGTAGTAGATCCATGGTACGCTTTGTCCTTCCTAGGTACAGCTGTAGATTTAGTATATAATCTAGAATTAAACACTAGCAGTTGCACCACAAATTGGTAAGCATTATAATGATGATGATGATAGTGAAAGGGCAAACCTAAATCATAGAGGCTAAACAGCTTAAAAGTGTTGCAAGTAAGCTGGGTGGTGCCCTGGCTTAGTTCGCTGATAGTCTTCTTCCCAGTGGTGACCTATTTTCAGATTTTTATTTGGTCACAAATGTAATGAATTTCCACGTGCTTAGTCTAATCTCTAGTGAACTGTTGTCTGCATCCCAAACTGAGGCAAGTTTTTGGCACAGTTGGCAGCCAACTCGGGTAAGGTCTAGGATTGGTGTGTTTCATGAGTTGTTGCTACGGGTACTACTGTAGGTCGGAACTGGAGTGCTTTGGCAGAACTGTGCGGGGAAGCTTTCACAGTCCAGTCCAGTTGTAGTAGTATTAGTTCTAGCCACTTAGGTTTCTTCCTTTCATGTATATTAAAACTCGTCATATCCACGTTTAATTAAAAAAAAGCTATAAAACAATCAATTAAAATACCTTTTTCCCTTTCAGTGGTAAATGTAGAAAATTGAAGCAGGAAAGTAAAAGGGTACTGTAATAATTTGCTGGCAGTCACAAAACTTTAAGGCTGAGCTCTGTCTCTAGAATTCTAACACACCCTGGTGCTTGAGTGACCTTGGGATGGTTGTTTGAGCCCTTGTTTTCAACTGTTCATAACTTTCTTAAAAAAAGGCTAATTTAGAATCAATAGGCATGAATATTTAATGAGACAGTCTGGAATTTGAAGACTGTACAAATCATGGCATGGTCTCTTATAACAGGCCTACATTTGGCTTTCTGATTTTACCAAGTTTTATTGTTTTTATATAAAGTGAAGTAAATTTACATTTCCCAATAGTGTTGTACCTCCACATACATATACCCAGCCCTCAGATTTCTCATGGTCCTTTTTTCCCATAGGCCTTTACAGTAACAACAAAGAAAACCTTATTTATTTTCTAGATCTGTCATTTTAAACCCTTTGGGGCCAATGTACATTGCTAAAAAGTTATCTTTTTGAGGTGGGAAAAGCTCAGCCTTTCCTTCCCTGTTTAATGACATTACTACTGTTTTATTTCAAGAGTTCCCATTCCAGGTAATAGGATAGCTTCAGATAAATACATCTATGCCTCTATAAACACTTCTGCAGTGATTCTGCTGTAATAAGTTAGTATTTTAAAATCTTCTAATTCTCAAAACTGGAATTGCATACTGTATATCCATGTGCTTTACTAGGCAAGTTTTGTTGATGAATGTGACTTTTTACAATCTCCTCAAATATGTTCATATTTTTCCATTAATATATATTGAAATTCTGCAGTTAAGGAACTTTTCAGTAACTTTACTTGCAGATTTTTATCAAATAGGTATCCATTAGGGGGCTCTCGAGGTTTAAAATGATCAGCCTTGAGACCGATGGCTTCGAAGCTTTACTTCCTAACCCTTTTTTCTTTTTGTTTTACAGAAAAGGTCACGGATTGCCTACAGTGACGAGGTGCGGAATGAGCTCCTAGGGGATGATGGGAATTCCTCAGAGAACCAGGTAGGATGCTAATCAAGAAGCCCTAGTGGGTGGCTGGAGGGTGAAGGAGGTCACTGGCACACTGGGCTTCTCAAGCTGCTCCTTAACAGCATTAGCAACAACTCATGTGGAAGTGATACTGTTTAATGCAAAGCTGGGGTCTTAATCAACTTCAAAATGTTTCTTGGAGATCTTACATTTAACCCTTTACCTTGTGATCACTGTCTGCTATCTTTAAAAAAATCTTTTCTTCTCTTTTCTTTATTATTTAGTACTTAAGGAATAACTTGAAACGCACTGTTTGCTGACAAAGCCAGGGTCTTCACCTCAAACACATGTAAAAGGAATAAAAAAGTACATAATGCAGCTTTGATAATAATGCAGTATAATTAAATCAACACTGGCAGGCAAAACAAATGAAAGTGAGCTCTCAGAATTGAACAGTACCCCTCACTTTCCTTGTGTGCCTTCCTTTCTTAACCAGGTTTTCTTTCCTTGGACCAAAAATGCAAGTTGCACCAATAAAAGCCTGTAATTCTCTCACACACATTGTACTAGAGTTTATAATGTTATATACATTTTTTTTTTTATGAAAGGGTGCTTAATTACTGTAAGCCCTTTTTGAGTTTTATCATGAAATTGTTATTCAGGACACTATCAAGATTCTTATAAGGTCATAAAAATGATGAAGGAAACACTATTTTCAGGGGGATTTAACCCACCTTCATCTGGGGTTCAAACTTGTCTTACAGGTTTCTATCTGAAAACCGAATTTTATTTTAAACCAATTCCCTTGTCTTCCCTCACACCAAAATTAGCATTTGGTACTTTTAAGTTAGAAGTTATTTTAAAGTTTACTTGAATAATATAAATTTTTTGCTGTGATAACTTTGATTTTACAAGTGAAGCTTGGTAAATGATTACTTAACAATAAATTCAATTATTTGGATATTATAAATTGGGGAGAAATAAGGACCAAATTCTGAAGTTTTATTCAGTTCTGACTTCAGTATGAGTTTTGCGTCAGGAATAGCTGAGTTAAATTAAGTAAAGACTTCAGATTTGTCCCTCAATGTCCAAAATATTGAGATTAAAAAGGTTGAGTTCTGAGCAAGTGCAATATTATCAGAACAATATTGAAAGGATAAATGGTAAATTACATGATGGACTTTAATACATATATTGATGAAATCATATATTGTATTTAATATTACTGTATACCATAAAAAGAGACTATAATAGCTTTAGATACATATTTAAAGAGGCAGATATACATGGTATGCATCTTCATATTCATGTATTATGGCAAGAGATTTTCCAGGGTTTGAATAAGTTGAAAGCTTTTTTTTTTTTTTTTTTTTTTAAATACAAAAGAGTATGATAGTTTGTTTTAGGGAAAGAATTTTCATAATTTGCATGTCATCAACATAAGTTCAAACATATAAAGGTGTTAAGATACAATTTGGGTTTTCATGTCTTTTAACTACACCGCTGTTTTCACATTTTAAGAGAAATTTGTGTGAGATCAGACATAAAAGGGCAGTTGTGATAAGAAGTTTTACTTATAACAGAATACCTAATGTGTGAGTGTGAGATAAAATATTGTTTTTGCTTTTTAAGGAAAGGCTGAATAACTGGTTCACAGGTGCACTTTTTGTGAGTTGTGATCTCTTTTTGAAACTCTCAGGAAAATAAAAAAGAATGGTCTCCCCTAAAAGAATTATATAATAATGTAAATTTAAAATTATTTGCCAACATGGCTTTGCTTTTTTTTGCTCTTTGAAATGACCAGTTGTTATCTAAGGTAAAATGTGGAGGGGGGAGAACAGTTGGCTCTCTTCAGAAATATAAATCCATATTTGCAACTAATGTCTTAAAGTTGACACACTTGTACCACTGGAAAAAAAAAAAAGTTTTGTTTTCTTTTTTGACAAACTTTTATAAACATGAAACTTTGCTGTGAAACTGGCTTATTTCTTTTAAATACATGAAGGCTAATGTTCACAAAGAACTTCCTCATATTTATTGGACTGTTCCAATTCTTTCTATCACTTTTTCATATGAAAATATAATGATGATCTATACTTGTTACAGCTAAGTAAATACTTAATCATAAGAGTATCATCTTGGGTACATGCAACTGGCTGGTTATCTCACACACAAACTCTTTAGTCTAAAGTTGACATACCATTAGGTACTGTTTTTTTAAATCAACCATAAATGTAAGTTTTGGGTATTTTTATATGAATAATTAGCCAACTATGTATGAGTATTTAATCCAATAACCCCAAAAGCTATTGCATTTTGTACTGATATCAAAAGCACTTTATAAATATAAAACGTTACCTGTCCAACATAACATCCCAATATAACTGAAAACTATATGAAATATTAGGGGTGTCCTTCTCATGTACAAAAGTTTGTTTGACAGAATAAGTGCAGGTGGAAGGACTAACCCTCCCTGTAATCCAGGGTTTAGACTAATTTAATTATTTGTTAGGTTTGGATTAATTTGATGAAATGAAGTGCTGTTTGTCTTTCCCTGCAATACTCAAACCTAGTTTTTTCTTAATGAACAAATCAATGAAAAACAGGTGTTGTCTAAGAATTGCTGCTTTAGCAAACTAGAAATATTGGTAAAATCCATCAGTGGAGGAGATAAATATCAGGGTAGGCTTGAGGGTTAGCCAGGTGAGGGAGAGATAAACTTCTAAGCTTGTACAATTCTTTAGATGGAACATTGGCAGTCATATTAAACTTTTTTAGAACTGTTTTTTGGAGAGGAAAGGCAAATGGAATTGAATATATTTATATATAATAGTGGATTAAGTTCATTTAAAAATAAGATTGAGGGGAAAATGAAGAATCAGTTGCCTGGTTAATCTTTTGTTTATTCAACTGTTAGCACTTTATTCGTGTTTCAAAGATATAGTTGGAGCGATATACACAACTGAGTTAGTGGATACACAGAATATGCCTGAGGTTAGGCAGGTAAACAAGTACACAGAATTCAATCTCCAGTTGTTCCTCAAAACAGATCTGCATAGGAACAATTAATATTGCAAAACATTGCAAATGAGGGTGCACTATGTCTGAGAATATGGTCATGACTCCATGCTTACGTCAAGATACGACTAATGTATAATAGGTACAGGATATAAAACCTGCTGGTTGTCAAAATATGTACAAATATGTACAAATTCCAGCAATCAAAATTTCTTTTAAAATTAATTTATCTTTGTTGGGTATGGTAGATACTAGTGATTGCATGCTGTATTTAATGAAGTAATTGCTTGCTTTGTATACATTAATTTTCTCCTAATTTAAATCCAGTGAACATAATCAGATAAAGCATGTTCTGAGTTATAAAAATAGGAGACAAAAAAACAACAACAACCATACTGTGCATGTTTGGGTTATCGTTTTTTCCAGGACCGTTGTCTTAAGCAGGACTGTTACTTTCAAGATTTATTTGTCATTCTGACTGGCAGCATTTATCAAATCCCTTGAAAGACTTGAGCCCTTCAGTGCAGTGATACAGTGCTTAAAGTTGTGGCTTCCATTTATTAGTTGTACAGTTGTTTTATGTGATGACTCCATATTTTTTAGAAAGCATCGATAGGGTTAAATAAGAAACCTTTTTGTACCAAAAATATAGCATGCAGGTATTTATAGCATTATAAATCTGTTTGTTTGAAATGTAATACTGTTGCCTTCCATTCCCAAACTAGATTCGCTAATATGTTTGAGTAAATTCTTATTAGTTAACCAGAAGGTTAAATTATATGTGTGTGTGTGTGTGTGTTACATCACACACTATATGTGTGATTTGTGGTAAACAAATGTTGTGGCTACTTAATTTCTGACTACAGAGTTCTGATAATATTAGATTTGGGCTTGCTGTGCATAAAGTGTGTCAAACTTCAGTTACAGACCAGGGGGTGAAGTTGGTCAATTTAATTCCCCAAGATCTAAAGAAGGTTGGTATCATTTCATATAGCCCTGGCAGAGCAGATCATTACCAGACACAAATCTGTTCGTTACATGCCGAGGGTTTATAGCAAAATAAATAGACTGTCATCATAAGTTCAGAAAATTGTGTGTTCGACCCACGATAATGTGTAAAGGGCGTTTAATAGAGTTCAGCATTTATTCGTTATCTGTATGCGGACAGAGACAACAGTAGCGTTATCAGCTTTTTAAAAAAAACTTCGGTAGTTTTCTGTGTCACGTGACACGCCTCACAGACACACACACACACGCACACTGCGGCGCAGTTTTGATTTTAGTCACAGCAGAAGGCTTAGCCACAAGAGATTCCGCTGGTTCAAACCAGCATAAACCAGATTTTTTTTTTTTTTTTTTTAGCCTACAAAGGAACAGATTACCTCTTGTATCAATTCCATATTGGGAGGGGGGAAAAAAAATCTTTGTTTCAAAAATATGCTGATTATCATAAACTAAAATGGTGGCAGTACACATTTAAATGCTGTTTACAACTGAGCAGCAAGCTTAATAAAAACAAATATATAAAAATTAAAAAGGCAATATGTTTCCTTCAAGTGCATTGTTAGATGGAAAAAAATACATCTTTTGTTAATTTGAATGAATATCTCTCAGACAACATTTAAAAAAAAAAATCTCCCATTACCTAGCTTAGCTGCAAATCCTATGCAGAGCTTAAATTCAGCCATGCAGCACAAACAAGATAGAACATTTTTTGTTTGGGACCTATTGAAAAAACAAATGTGCAGCGTTTTGAAACTCTCACTGATTATAGCAGGGTGGCATGCCCCAAATGGGCTCTATTGCAGGAGAGTAGTTTTAAACTTTGGCCCTTTAAGTATCATAGTCAACTGAAGAATGGTGACCTCAGAAAGAAAAGATAGCTATATGATCAACTCCCAGATCATCTCTTTCTAAAGAGACGTAATGTTTGCCTTTTTGGGGAAGGAAGAGGGGGGAAGATAGAAAGAGAGAGAGAGACCGATTTATGCTAGGCCAAGTACTTGATTTTAAGAAGTGGTTTGGTGGGTAAAGAGTGTGGTTTTCTTTATATCAAATTCTTGGAAGTTTCCTTTATCTTTCATTTTAAGTTACTGCAGTAGTTACCCTCCTAATTTATATGGTTAGTAACCTTTTGTCTCTTGTTTTATGGTAATGGGGTGAAGCATAGGTTTAATTTTAGACCAACCATATGAAATACCAGGGAACTAATGGATTTTTATTTTTGGTCTTCTCTCTTGCTGGAGATTCTCAGTATTTGTAAACATTCTCATCTTACATAGAAGTTGAATATTAGTCTTGCGAAATTGTAAATGAAACATGAGCATAGACTGAGATTGTCATTGTCCAATTCAACTGGAATCGGTGAGAAAGCTCCGTTTTTTCATAAAGACCATCCCTTTGCATACACTTATTGTGAGTAATTGTACTATTTTGTTCTAGTACAACAAACTAATGGATCGCTCTCCATTTTGGGAGATACATGTTACAGTGTAGTTGGTATTCAAGCTAGTTATTTTTTTTAAATAGTCCTGCCAATACAATGGTATTAATAGTGTTAAAAAGGTAGATTGCAGTGAACTGGACTGATTTACGACTACACCTTTATGTAAAAATATATAAAATATAGTGATCCTGAATTAGGATGCATATGCAAAGTGGATGTTTTTTGAAAGAAATCATGTTTCATGATAGCCATGATTCCTTTTACCTATTATTAAATGTATTGTGCACTGAATAAGTATTCTCTTACACTAAACCACATAAGTTGGGTTGTTTTTAACTGGAAAAAAAGTTGCTATAATAGGTTCAATAATAACAATGCACTTACATTATGAATAAGAATTACCGTATAACAATTGGTATACCAGTGACAAGATATAGAGATACTATAGTCTATTAATAAGTCAGATCTATTAGTAAAATAAGAAACCAGTTGTCACAACTAAAAAAATACAGAAAACATCCTGAAAACTTGTATATACAAAACCACTTCAGCTGTACAATCTTAGAAGAGAGGAACAGTAAACTTGTTTTTTTCTTTATAATATAGACTTCTATGAAGTCATTCCCCTTTATTTCATGATGGTGTCTTAGATGTGGTTTAAAAGAGAATTTCACACTATTCTCTTTGTTTAATGTGACAGTGTGAGAAAGTGATCTTTATTCGTTCAAAAAACTCTGCATGTAGTCTATGTTTAGGTTCTTTTAATGTGTTTGTCTGTGATTTTTAAATGCTAAACATGTAAACAGATAAATTGTCAATGTTAATTCTGTATCCTGTCACACAACTGATCTTTCTTTCCTGCCATTTCTTTCCTTTTTATCTTTTTTGTGCGTTCATGTTGCAGTTGATAAAATTACGTGAAGAGGTGAGTACTTTCTTGCTTTTTGTTGTCTAGCTTTCCCTTTAAAGCTGAATTTCCAAATCTGAAAGTAGATCTTTTTGTTTATTGTTGCAGGGAAATCTACACAAAGCAAAAATATTGATTACATTGCTTAAAAATATTCACTGTTATGTGTCTTTTTTTTCTTCTAATAACTATACACTTACATGGGACTCCCTAGATCAAACCTTAGAAATTAACATTCTTTGATAGCAGAGAGAATTTTTAAAGGCATTGGAAAAAGAAGGAAAAAAACTATTATTTGATCTGTTAGAATATCATGATCAGATCAGGTGTAGTAATAATCTTGTTTGCATCACAAAATCTTTGATGGGGTAAATACATTTGTACATTGGTATTGTAAATGAAAGCATTGCTTTGGTGAAAACCTCTACTGTAACACTATCAAACATATGTACTACTTCACTATGCATTAAATTTAGTGTAGAGCAATTGAAATACCTATTGTATGAATGCATTGCATACACAATGAAAATATAGTACAAGTAGACCTGAACACACACACATCAATATTTATTATTTATTTGTGTGTATGTGGTAGATCTGTAGGTGTAACACTAAAGATCAGTATTCTGAAGCACCTGTCCTTTCACTTAGGAAATGGCTCATAAATATTTAGAGCCAGAAATCTAAGTTCTAATGGTCAATTACTGAAATTTTGTAGTGTATTTTCTAAAGGTGCTGTCCACTGTAGTGCATGTTGTTGGTGGGGTGGGTGTGCGCACGTGCGCAAAAGCAGGTACTTGCACTGCTTTTATTATTTTTTTTCTAATTGCTACCAATAAGGGTTTAGTAGAGTCATAGTTGCTAACAGGCCAAATTTCTGAGTAGATTCCTAGAGAGATCTCCTACTAAGCACAGTATTAACATTTTTGTATGATATGTTAGTCTTGTCTTTATTACCTTCTGACTGAACAACACGACGATGATGATGAACTGATACATCAATAATGGATATTACACTCTGGAAAAAGTATTTGTTGTAAGTTCTAGGAGTGATGATGGGAGAGAACTGGGAACTAACCAAAGCAATAGCAACAAAGGGGAGTTCTTGATGTAACAAGGCTTTAATTTTTTTTAAAGAATCTTTTACCAGTGTCCCAGATACGCAGCTTGTCTCTCCTTCCCAGCCCAAAATGAATAGGTTGATAATGAGGAGAAAAAGAAAGCTTAAAAACAAAGTAAATATGAGAGACCAAGTGAAAGCCCTCCCTAGTTCCATTACCTAGTTCTCCTCCTTAATATTCTCTTTATAGTCCCTGTATTTAAACAGATAAGAACGTTGTTGCAAGGATTCTAATAATGTGATTTCTGACATGTTAAGACCAGATATGAGTTGTAGCAAAGGATAATTCTTTAGACTCACACTTGCCAAACCCTTTCATGGAAGCACATAGACGTGCATATATGTGTACATTTGTAGAAGGCTGCAATAGGAGCATTTTGCTAACGAATTATGGCCCTTTTTTAATAAACATGGTTACTGACCATTTGCAAGATACTTTCAAAATTGAATGCAGAGTATTTGAGCACAGCTGCCACTTAAATAGTAAATTTTGTATAATGATAGTGATGGACATTAAAACAACCACATGCCAACAAATTAGATAATTCAGTATTTGTTGCAAAAGGCCATGCCTTTGTCTTTTATCAACTCTTTGAGACTTTAAATCCTTTTGTATATCAACCTAATGAATCATGTTGTATGATGACATGCTAGTAATTTCTTCATCTTTGATTATTTTGTAAGTTTTATCAGTTACCTTTTTTTGTCATCTCACTGCATGTTATGGGAGCCACCAAAGTATTTATCCAGTTAAAGAATTATAATTCTGGATAGACTGTGATTGAATTGACAGAGAAATAATTTTAAATATATTAAGTTTCCGTGTTCTACCTATAAAATAGGTTATAATTGTGGTTACATTTTTATATTGAATGCAAAATGCACATTAGAATCTAAATGAAGCATTGACTCAGGCATGGTTCTAAACTAGTCACATAGTAAAACATCAAGGCTTCCCTAATTATAGTTCTCCTAAGGAGGTATGAACTGATCTTAAAAGAAATTCTGATTTGCCATACTGTTTGTTAATAAAAAGTACACTTCCTCTCATTCCAAGGCTCTATTCTAACATACATGCAGTACACAGAATTCTATGGAGGCTGTGTTGCTCTGTCTTTTTAGTTTCTGAAATCTCAGTTTGAATCCAGCCCACATGGAATGACTAAATCTCTAGTGATAGCATGCCACTTTGCAAAACTTCCTCACATAACTCCAGATGGAGGCTCTTTCTGAAGCTACAAGACAGACTATATCACCTCACTACCCACCTTACAAAGGGTAGGGGATAGTGTGGGAGAATGAGTTTGGGGAGGGGTGGGAAGGAGTTGAAAGCATCAGCTGCTACTGTAGTTCATTGCCTTTCATGACCAAAAGGACGGTGTTCATCCAAAACCAAACACAGAATGTAAATAACACCATCACTTAGAACAAAAATTAGATTTTATTGTAGAATGACTTCGGTGGAAAGGTTTTGAAATCAGAGGTAAGAAGCAGCATTGAGTTCATGTTAGCACTGAATTCACAATATTCTAGTGTTCTAATTGCTTAGAGTAGGGCTAGGCTGGTGTTGGGTGTCTTGCATTGCTTTTTCAGTATAATTTTTTCTTATCTACTGTATACAAACACACATACTAAAATACTCGCATTTTTGATTGGATAAGTGTGTTGAATTATAACAGCATACAATGCGAATTCTGATTTCCTCCTCACATGCAGACTTCATCAGATCAAAAAAGCTTTTTAATTTTAAGCATCTGACAACACTAAATAACTCTCCTGTAATTAAAAGGTGCTATGGGTTGTGCTGAGTTTTGGAGACTGTCGCTACAGTATTTGAAGTGTCTCTTCTTAACTTTTGGAATTCTCATCTTTTGAACCCCAAAGTATCTCTGCTGATCCTATAATCTCAGCTTTCCTTTCTTAAGGAAAATATTTCTGACACATTATGATACAGATATAGCACATTCGTTATAAAAGTTTAAACTAACATAAATTGAGTCTCAATACAATTTTTTTTTACAAATTGCATTGTAAGCTGACACATTTCTTTAAACAGGGGGTCTGAGCCATAGAGAGAAAGCAGCTGCTATTATGAAAAGCTACCTTTTAAAAAAGTTATTACATAAAATTAACACTAATTATTTAGATTGTCCAGGAGTCTCAAGAACACGCTCCACTCTAGCTGCTGTTATGATTTCAATTAGAACACTGTAACTTATGTTTTTAAATGTTAAGTGCTTGTGGTGCTTCTTTTTTTTTTTTTCTTGGTGGCCTGCCCCCCATGAACGTAAAGGCTTTTGTGCAATTTACTCTTAACCTATCCACTGTGTATTAGACGACTCTATTAATTATTATAGACTGTTATTGCAGCTTTCCTGACCTTCACATTGGGTCCTATCTGTGCTGATCTAAATGCATTGTTTTAATGATTTAAAAAAAAAATTCAAGGCAAGCTTTGATGTGGCTTTAGCTGCCTCGATCGTCTGGCCGCATCTCAGAGATGTGTCACCTATGCCGGGAGGGAATAGGGAAATCACGTTTTGAATGGTAATGATAACATACTAATCACTTCCTTTCTTTGAAGATAGAAGCGAGATATTCTGTCAGCATCCCTGGCTGCTAGAGCTTGGAGGCATTGGTCTAGGTGTATTAGCTTAAGTGTGCATGTCAATACAGCTTGCATCTCCCAAGATCCATAGGGGCTCATTAGAGCAAGGTAGATCGTTTCGGTAGACAGCCACTCAGATAATATGTATGGCACCTCCTTTTTTTTATTATTATTAGAAAGCATTCCTTCGGATTTTTTTTTAAATGACATCTGTCAACAAGGCAAAGTTGTAGGAGTTGTTTTTGACACATACCAAAACTGTTTTTGGGGGTGAAGGAAGGGTTGGTGAAAGTATATGTATCTGATTAGTTTATACGTATTTTTGACAGCTTGATTAGAACTAGTCTAGTATTAGTACTCTAAAAAGAAGTAAGGCTTATATTTTGAGAGTAGTTTATGGGTGCAGAATAAAATAGTGAAAATAATCATTTCACCTTTGCACTATCACTAATTATTGTAAAAATGTGCACAGTATTATATTTTTGCTGGAGTTCATTAAAAAAGCCTCTTTATGTACATAAACATGCATGTACCTTTTTTAAAGGTTTTGATATATCTCTTTAAATATAGACTCCAGTGTTTTGTTGTTGTATGTGTTTATATCAAGCAGTCCTAAAGATATATCTGCTGTTTAGTATTCTGTATGAGTAGAATTTTGTTTTTATATACTAGTACTTTCCATAGTTGTACAGATGAAGTAGAAATATACTCCAGTGAAAATTGTTAATATTAAAAATTACCACCTGCAATAATAATGTTTTGTGAAATTATTGTTCAATAGAAAATGTGGATGCTTATGTATGATAAAATGAAGAATAAATCTTGAAGTTGATCTTCAGGCAATGCCCATATATAGCAGAAGCATTAGATTTTATCAGCGTGCTCATGTAATAACAATGAACCACATATGCACTGTTTCAAAACAAAATGATTGGTACACATAATTATGATTGATCACAGAACCTGCCTTTTCCAATGGTGCTTGTAATAGGCTATTCCGTAAAATATCTGTAGATATTTTTATGTTTTGGCATATGAAAGCGTAATTAAAAAAAGAGTCGGGTGGGGGGAAGGGAGAACATTGTAGACTGCAGTCTGATTTTTTTTTCTTTTTCTTTTTCAGAGGGCACATCTGCTCGATAACACAGAGAGGCTGGAAAGGTCATCTCGGAGACTAGAGGCTGGATACCAAATAGCAGTGGAAACCGGTAAGAATTCTGAGAGTGAGCAAATTGTCTTGCTTATGCACAGCAGTCTTCACAACACATGACATTTCAGGGAAACTTCAAAGGCGAAGCAGAGACAGCAGCCCGAGATGTGGTTTACATATTGGGGAGACAATTGGGAGCTTATTTGCACTTATCTTTTTTCAAGTTAAAAGGCATGACATCTACTGAAAACAGTTCCTGAGGTTTAAAAGTATACATCTGAAAAGAGATGGAATACTTTGTCTAAATTCTACATTTGTCTTAATGTGCAGTTACATGTTGTCAGTTTACCCACCCGCAATGATTGCTAGCACATACTGTAGACTCCAGTTGTTTTCGTCTTTTACTTTTATTGATATATGTAAAAATTGTTTTAATAAATCTATAAGATATTAACCAGAGACAAATAAATAATAAGGTTGCCAACTCAACTTTCTTGAAATTGATTCTGCAACAGATTGTTCAGTTTTTTTATACAATGTAGGTAGCAAATTGTACTTTATTTTGTTCAATTTTTACAGATTCAAAGGAAAGAAGGCTAAATCAAAGCTTAATTTATTATTTTTATTACTGATATTGAAAAGAGTTACTTGGTACTTTCAAAATGTCTTCATTAAATTATACCAGTCAGTGTCTTTTAAAAAAACAAACAAACAACAACACAACAATAACTAAGCCCCCAAAGTCTAATCTCCTTAAATGAATACGTTTACGCAAAATTATGAAAAGTTTCATGCCTATTATATTTTAAAAGTAAAATAATTTTCTGGGAGACCATTCTAATTAATTGATATATGCTGGTATCGTACAAAATCCTGTATGTATTATTTAAAAGGTAAACTAAGTTTAACCCTTGTAAAGGTAAATATTGTTATGTTAAATAACATTGTTATTGTAAATAACATATATAATTAATATGGCCATATTTAAATTATTCTGGACTTAGTGACATGAAAAATAATGTAAAAGAAGTTGGCAACATATCATATGTGAAAGGGAAAATTAAGTAATTACTCATGAAGAGGTCAGAATAATGGAAATGGACACTATATCAGTAAAGGTAGCTTTGCTGTAAGTTCTCAGAACGTCCTACCAGTGACCATAACTCTTGTTGAGAAGGACTGTTTTAATGAGTTAAAAATTCAACTCTCTGCTTTGTTATCATATCATGGTTTTTCCCAAGCAAAGGCTATGTAGGATTGCTGTCTCTCAGTTAGGGGTGAAAGTAGCTTATTCCTTCCTCCTTTGGAATATTGTATCTTAAAAAGAGCCATCCCGTTAACTTTCATTACCTATGTCTCCATGGCCATCTCTGATATTTATATATGATTATGGGCCAGGTCCTCAACTGATGTAAACTGACAATTTCATTGACTTCCCTGGACTTACACCAATTGACACCTGCTGAAGATCTGTCCCTATATAGCCCTCTCTGTGATGTAAGGTGCAGTTTTTGTTTTATAAGCTGCACAGACATTTTCACTTGGAAGTATTAGCATCACTGGAATGCAGTTTTCTGCTGCAGCTTTTTGTGGGAAGAAGATTAGTAAATTTTAGGTTCCAGTGTTGACTAGGAGGATTTGGGGGAATAATAAAATTAAATTAATTCAGTACAATATAAGAGTTAACTTTTTACACACATGTGGAGCTATTGTGTAATCATTCTGTGTAGTGTTGCCACATAAGTACAAAATCTTCATTTTTGAACTCTGATTCATCACTACATTGGCGTTCAGACCTAGATCTCCCATGATGATGAAAGGAGAAGGTGACAACCATTAGATGTCCATTGTATTATGTTTTTTTTAATATGTATGAAGCCCTTTCTAATGAAGTCAGATTACTTTCACTTCAGTAGTTCAAATCCATTTTAGGATTCTCTATAAAATATTTTTGTTATATTCATTGGCAGTTCATAATATTAAAAAAACCAAAATATATTATACTGTATTAAACCTCCTGTGATCTCCTAAGGATTAATCTGAGATTGCATAGCGAATTTCATACAGGTTCTTATTGCCACATGTTAACTCGACTGCCATAAATTGGAAGTTTTTTGTCATTTGCCTCTTTAAATTGTTTACCTCTCCAGTCATTCATGTATTTGGGAATACAAGCCAAGAACTATTGAATGGGTTTAACTTCCTTCTGACTTCCTTCTTTCAGTGGGTAAGCACCCAAGGGTACTGGAGCCTCAATAGGAGGCAACATACATCACCATACTTAGGATCCAATCTGAAATCAACTGTTAGGCCTTCAGAAGTTACAGGTTATGACCTATGGAAATTAAATATATGGGGAGACCTTCTGAATGATTAAGGATTAAATTTGCCATATTCCAGGTGGCCCCAATGGCACCCCATAACCAATTCACTTTAGTAAAGCCAAAGGTTGTGTGGATCACTAGTACTGGGATGCATTTCACCCTAAATATTCATAGGGATTCATTTCTAACTTAACAGGTGTTGGAGTGCTGATATAGTAGCACAGCAATTGTACATTCAGTCCAAGCTCTACTTAATTGCTTCTTAGTAATTTAAATGCGTTGAGCTGTACTTCACATGGTTGAAACCACACACAGGTCTCATGTCATATGATTTTTGCAAAGAAACCATTTTTTTCCAATTTTGAGTGGAATACATTTTATAACTCCTTAGGTTCAAATTTTAGTTGCATCCTAACTGAATTCTAGAGTTTCCTGCTCTTCCCTGTAGAGATTATATAATTTGGGAGTGTATCTCTCTATATCCTACTTTATATATAACTTTTGCAAGCAGGATAGCTTCTCTGATTGTGCAAAAGTTCAAAATGCCTTGTTTAATTCATCTTCAGAAAAGTAATTGGAGTGCAAGTAGTCAGTAATGTGTTGTGTCAGTGGGGAAAAGAAAGAACTAGATCAAACCTCATGTGAGGCCATCATGGTTGGATAGCTTTCAGCAAGACCTTCCTGACTGCTAAATGCTTTCTGAAAGAGAATACTGAAATTACTATCTAGACTAGGGCTGTCGATTAATCGCAGTTAACTCACGCGATTAACTCAAAAAAATTTAGCGCAATTAAAAAAATTAAGCGCTATTAATCGCACTGTTAAACAATAGAATACCAATTGAAATGTAATAAATATTTTTGGATGTTTTTCTACTTTTTCAAATGTATTGATTTCAGTTTACAACACAGAATACAAAGTGTACAGTGCTCACTTTATATTATTATTTTTTATTACAAATATTTGCACTGTAAAAATGACAAAAGAAATAGTATTTTTCAATTCACATCATACAAGTACTGTAGTGCAATCTCTTTATTGTGAAAGTTTACAAATGTAGGTTTTTTTGTTACATTACTGCACTGAAAAACAAAACAATTTAAAACTTTAGAGCCTACAAGTCCACTCAGTCCTACTTCTTGTTCAGCCAATCGCTAAGACAAATAAGTTTGTTTACATTTATGGGAGATACTGCTGCCTGCTTCTTATTTATAATGTCCCCTGAAAGTGAGAATAAGCGTTCACATGGCACTTTTGTAGCCAGTGTTGCAAGGTATTTACATGCCAGATCTGCTAAACATTTGTATGCCCCTTCGTGCTTTGGCCACCATTCCAGAGAACCCAGCATATGTTTGTTTTAAGAACACTTTCACAGCAGATTTGACAAAACGCAAAGAAGGTACTAATGTGAGATTTTTAAAAATAGCTACGGCGCTCGACCCAACGTTTAAGAATCTGAAGTGCCGTCCAAAATCTGATCGGGACGGGATGTGGAGCATGCTTTCAGAAGTCTTAAAAGAGAAACACTCAGATGTGGAAACTACAGAACCCAACCTCCCAAAAAAGAAAATCAACCTTCTGCTGACGGCGTCTGACTCAGATGATGAAAAAGAACAGGTGTCAGTCCACACTGATTTGGATTGTTATCGAGCAGAATCCGTCATCAGCATGGACGCATGTCCTCTGGAGTGGTGGTTGAAGCATTAAGGCACATATGAATCTTTAGCGCATCTGGCACATACATTTCTTGCTACGCTGGCTACTACAGTGCCATGCAAACACCTGTTCTCATTTTCAGGTGACGTAAACAAGAAGCTGGCAGCATTATCTCCTGCAAATTGTAACCAAACTTGTTTGTCTGAGCAATTGGCTGAAGTAGGACTGAGTGGACTTGTTGGTGTGAGAAAGTTTTACATTGTTTTATTTTTGAATGCCGTTATTTGTTTGTACATAATTCTACACTTGTAAGTTCAACTTTCATGATAAAGAGATTGCACTACAATACCCATATTAGGTGAATTGAAAAATACTATTTTTTTTTTTACAGTGCAAATATTTATAGTCAAAAATAAATGTAAAGTGAGCACTGTACACTTTGTATTCTGTGTTGTAACAGAAATCAATATATTTGAAAATGTAGAAAGCATCCAAAAATATTTAAATAAATGCTATTCTGTTATTGTTTAACAGCACGATTAATTGCGTGATTAATCACGATTAATTTTTTTAATTGCTCGACAGCCCTAATCTAGACCTCACCATGTATCATGAAAATCTATAGAGGAAGTACAACCACTAAAGGCCATCCAAATGTATATGATGAAATGGTATTAAAGATATCAGTAAGTGGTTTCCTTTTCTTCCTGAGCCTGAGGTGCTTTCACAAAACTCTGTAGATGTGATTTCTGTGAACCATAACCCCTCTCTACATCAGTGCACTTTCTGAGTTTCTCTCCATGAATGGTGATTATTGAATGTATTGGTATGTCTCTGGATGCATCTCAAGTCCTCTGAGCTATTAGAAAGGTTTATACTCTAAGTGAAAGAGATTTATTCGTTGCAGTGAATCTCAAAACTTTGGACTGTTTTCATATCTCCGACTTACAAACAAACTTGCTATAAAAAATATGTCTATGGAGAAGCTCCATCTGGATCTAGGTTTCAGACCTTACTTACATTAGAAGTTTGCAGTCCTATTTAATGTTTGGAAATCCAAAGGACACATAATGCAAAT